GCGTTAAGCAGGTAGGGAAGGAGACTTAACAGCTCAGGGAGAAGCAACAATATGTAAAAGGTCTGAGGCAACAAGAATTTGGGGAAAAGCCAGAGTTTTGTCTGGCTAAAGTATAAGCAGCAAGGGGAGAAGGCAGGAGACAAGGGTGGAGAAGAAGGCATGTGACCAAGATCATCCCCATATGTTCTGCTAAAATGTTCCCATTTTAATCCTTAGGTAGTAGAGAGCCATGGAGAAAAGTAAAGAGTGGAATGGCAAAATCAGCTTGTTCTCTATTCTTAAGGAACCAAAAATATAGCCCTAAACTGTACCCTAAAAATATGGAACAATTAGGGGGAAAGAATTTGCCTCAGGAGTAAAAAGTACTGCTGTAAAAAATGGGAGTTTAGGGACAGGAGGGATTCCTGTGAACTTGAACCATCTTGGAACACATCACAGGAAAAAAATAAAAATGACATTGATCTGATAGGATTTGGGAAAAGCATTTCAGGCAGGGGAAACGGTACAAGCAAAGGCTCAGAGATGGGACAGAGCACAGGGCATGAGAGAAGCGTAAGAGTCACTGCCAGGCACGGGAGCAACTGGCTGGGAAGAGAGGAAAGTCTGGCTCAGTGGTTCAAGTGGGACCATGCGAAGAGCTGACTGTGACTGGGCAGTGGGAGCTCAGTAGAGTGAAGGAGGCAGGAAATGCTATGAGGTATACATTAGTGCAATGGAATGTGTACAGTCCCTGCTGCTCACCAGGAAGAAGAAAACACAACTGGCTCAGCCCCAGTGCAAAGGGTCATCGATGGGTGACTCAGCTCTTAGTAAACACTCACTTGGATCTGGAATTGGTGCAGAGAGAATAATACTGTAGAGTTTCTTAGCCTCCTCCACATGCTCTGAGATCTTGTCAATGTTCAGCCGAGTTTCCTCAATCTATAATCAGAAAGACAATAACCTTCATCACCAAAGAGGAAGAATATGTCCACGGGTTAAGATAAATGCTTAGCAGAGCTCCTGGTGAAAGCTGCTTACTTCTGGGTTTGTGGAAGATGATGACTTAAAGGTCTTCAGAGGCCCAGTGAGTGCCCCTTCCATAGTCAGATAATCTCAAAAAAGCAGTCGTTAAAAATCCATACTCATTGATCCCTGAGAGGAATACATTCTCCCATCTTGATTGGAAGGATTCACACCAGAGTCAAGAAAAGCCAGGAAAACCCATGAAATGTAATCAGAGGAAAGGATCAGCCAACTTTATCAGTCAGACCCTTTACCCCCAAAAGTGAGAACAGGACAGAGTGAGGATGGGAAAGAGGGGAAAGAAGGAAGGAAAGTAGGATGTAAAAGGGAGAGAACAAACCTAGAGAATGAAAATTGAAGACAGAAGAATGAGAAGAGAAAGACAGAACAAAGAAACATAAGAAATACAAAAGGGGGGGAGGGAGAGACAAAGAGAGAAACACACACACTAAGCAATCACCATCTCAGAAGACAGGCTGAGCTTCACTTGGATGCATGTTCTGGTAAAAAGTTCTTACTAGCTGATTCCCTCAGATGATAGGACCCAGGAGCTCGAGCCATGAACCATTTCTGCACATTTCTAAGGCTTTTGATTGCACAAGGTTGATATCATAAAATATTTCAAGCAGCACTTCATTCCCAAATAGAAAACCGTTACAAGACACAGCTGTGTAAGCATTAAGTTCCACCTCAGCTCCCTCTTCAAAGATATCAGCTGCCCCAGCACCATGGCCCGTGCTGTGGTGGAAGTAAATATATAGGAAGTGGCACATGGAAAAGAAACCTAGGTGCTTATCAACCTCACCTCCTGCGATGAGGGGCATGTCAACACTGCAACAACTAACAAGCAGAAATCTAGTGAAATGCCATACAGTAGGATCTTAACTTCTGAGAAGCAACAAAAATACAACTCAATGAATATGCAGCTTCCAGCATCCCTTCTCCCAGTGGAAGATTCACCTCTTTTTAAAAGTCTGGTTATAAGCTCTCCAAATTGGATGGAAAATAGGAGAAATAAAACGAGCTCTCTAACCCTCAAATCAGTGTGTTTGCCACTGGAGCAAGGGATTTCCCCCTCTATAAATATACTGGTTTAGATGTACCATAGTTTACATAAAATTTCAATGTCATAATATCATTGGAATATAAATATATACAGGTAGATGCCCAAATATTTGTGAAGCATTTTAACACTGGCAAAACAACCTATAGAATTATATTAGGACCATTATTTAAATGAGGAAACTTGCTGTGGATTAAATGTCCCCCCAAAACTCATTGAAGCTTCACCCCCATTGTAACAGTAGTAAAAGAGTGGAAAATCCAATTATGGTATTTGAAAGGTGGGACTTTAAGAGGATATTAGAAAAAAAAAATTAAAAAATTAAAAAAAGAAAAAACATGATTAGATTGGGAGGACTGTGTCCTCATCAATGGATTGATCCATTTACAGAGTAATGGGCATGGCTCTGATGGCTTTATAAGGAGAGCAAGTGAGAAGGTTAACTCTCTCTTGCTCAGGCCGTTCCTAGCCATGTGACACCCTGTACTGCCACCCAGAAGAAGGCCCTCACCAGATGTTTTCCCTGTAGCATTGACTTCCCAGCCTCCAAAATTGTAGGAAATAAATTTCATTTCTTTATAAATTACCCAGTTTCAGGTATTCAGTTATAAGCAAGAGAAATGAACTAATACAAAACCTAAGTTTAAAAAAGTCATAGGTCATATAGCTGGTGGTAGAGACAGCCCTCAAACAGTGCCCTCCCCTCCAACTGGGATGCTTTTTCCATTTGATCTACAACTTGTTTTAATTCTTCATACTGTTTCACACTGAGCAGAATCCCAAGCCTCTGCATACATGAAAAGGGCCTGTACCACCATCTATGAAAATTCAGTCTCTAGAGGTGCAACTGCTTCAGAATCTGGCCCTTGGGTAACTGAAATTGCTGCCCTCCCTCCCCTTTCTCTCTCACGTCAGACACTGGCTCCTCTTACAACTCATCAAATGTCATTGTATCTCACCCTGTTTCCACTTCCATCATGTGACTGTCTTCCCAGAGCATGTACACTGTTTTACAAGATTGAGAAAAAAATGCTTTCTACAATAAAAGGCACTAACCATTTTAAAACAAGCTTAACAAATTTTAACACATCATAAGGCCTTACATTTTGCATGTTCAATGAATTGGTTATCTTAGAAAATCTCTTCTAGAAAATTACTAGATAAACTGAAGAGCATCCTGATGCAATGGTGAATGGTAGAAAAACAGGAGACAGGAAGTTGTTAGGATGAGACTGCTGGGCCTCAATCTCAGAGTCACTCCAGGCATTTGGAGACTGGATGGTAGATGCTTATCCGGACCAATGCACAGGAGAATTGGGTCCTGTGTGTTCCCTCCTGGCCTCGCCTACAGGAATTCCTGGGCTCAGGGAGCTCTCCACTCCCACCCCCACCCCTCCTCCACCCCTTGTAGCTGCTCTCTTTCCTCTGTCCTCAGCAACCTCACCATGCAGAGGCATTTCAGGGACTTTATGATTTCATAGCAACTTTGTCAGTTCACCAAATAATCACAGAATCCCTTTAAGACTTCAGGATGGACAACTGACCAATCACAGAGCNAATATGCAGCTTCCAGCATCCCTTCTCCCAGTGGAAGATTCACCTCTTTTTAAAAGTCTGGTTATAAGCTCTCCAAATTGGATGGAAAATAGGAGAAATAAAACGAGCTCTCTAACCCTCAAATCAGTGTGTTTGCCACTGGAGCAAGGGATTTCCCCCTCTATAAATATACTGGTTTAGATGTACCATAGTTTACATAAAATTTCAATGTCATAATATCATTGGAATATAAATATATACAGGTAGATGCCCAAATATTTGTGAAGCATTTTAACACTGGCAAAACAACCTATAGAATTATATTAGGACCATTATTTAAATGAGGAAACTTGCTGTGGATTAAATGTCCCCCCAAAACTCATTGAAGCTTCACCCCCATTGTAACAGTAGTAAAAGAGTGGAAAATCCAATTATGGTATTTGAAAGGTGGGACTTTAAGAGGATATTAGAAAAAAAAAATTAAAAAATTAAAAAAAGAAAAAACATGATTAGATTGGGAGGACTGTGTCCTCATCAATGGATTGATCCATTTACAGAGTAATGGGCATGGCTCTGATGGCTTTATAAGGAGAGCAAGTGAGAAGGTTAACTCTCTCTTGCTCAGGCCGTTCCTAGCCATGTGACACCCTGTACTGCCACCCAGAAGAAGGCCCTCACCAGATGTTTTCCCTGTAGCATTGACTTCCCAGCCTCCAAAATTGTAGGAAATAAATTTCATTTCTTTATAAATTACCCAGTTTCAGGTATTCAGTTATAAGCAAGAGAAATGAACTAATACAAAACCTAAGTTTAAAAAAGTCATAGGTCATATAGCTGGTGGTAGAGACAGCCCTCAAACAGTGCCCTCCCCTCCAACTGGGATGCTTTTTCCATTTGATCTACAACTTGTTTTAATTCTTCATACTGTTTCACACTGAGCAGAATCCCAAGCCTCTGCATACATGAAAAGGGCCTGTACCACCATCTATGAAAATTCAGTCTCTAGAGGTGCAACTGCTTCAGAATCTGGCCCTTGGGTAACTGAAATTGCTGCCCTCCCTCCCCTTTCTCTCTCACGTCAGACACTGGCTCCTCTTACAACTCATCAAATGTCATTGTATCTCACCCTGTTTCCACTTCCATCATGTGACTGTCTTCCCAGAGCATGTACACTGTTTTACAAGATTGAGAAAAAATGCTTTCTACAATAAAAGGCACTAACCATTTTAAAACAAGCTTAACAAATTTTAACACGCACTTCCATCATGTGACTGTCTTCCCAGAGCATGTACACTGTTTTACAAGATTGAGAAAAAAATGCTTTCTACAATAAAAGGCACTAACCATTTTAAAACAAGCTTAACAAATTTTAACACGTCATAAGGCCTTACATTTTGCATGTTCAATGAATTGGTTATCTTAGAAAATCTCTTCTAGAAAATTACTAGATAAACTGAAGAGCATCCTGATGCAATGGTGAATGGTAGAAAAACAGGAGACAGGAAGTTGTTAGGATGAGACTGCTGGGCCTCAATCTCAGAGTCACTCCAGGCATTTGGAGACTGGATGGTAGATGCTTATCCGGACCAATGCACAGGAGAATTGGGTCCTGTGTGTTCCCTCCTGGCCTCGCCTACAGGAATTCCTGGGCTCAGGGAGCTCTCCACTCCCACCCCCACCCCTCCTCCACCCCTTGTAGCTGCTCTCTTTCCTCTGTCCTCAGCAACCTCACCATGCAGAGGCATTTCAGGGACTTTATGATTTCATAGCAACTTTGTCAGTTCACCAAATAATCACAGAATCCCTTTAAGACTTCAGGATGGACAACTGACCAATCACAGAGCTTTCTTTTTTTTTTTTTTTTTGGAACTTTGTATCTACTTTGTAACTTTTTTTCTTAGAAGTGTTGGTTTTCCTCAATGTTGATTTCTGGGTATTTTATGGTGGCAACTACAAGTGATTTTGTTTTGTACATTTGCCAGATAACCATAAAACCATAAGGAGAATGGGGGAAAGAGGGGACCTAACAGGAAAGTGACGAGTGCCCAATATGAAAGCTTAAGGGCTATTTGTATGTGTTTGTTTGGGGTTCTATATACTGACCTTACCCTGCATAATCACATATTGAAGAATTAAAATTGATTGAACATATACATGTACCAGAAATGATGTTAGGCCTTTCACAGTTCTTCTATGAGGTCGCATCACTATCTCCTTTTTATACATGAGAATGCTGCCTCAAAGAGGTAGGAGAAATTTATTCCAGACCATACCACAGAAAGAGGCAAAACAGAGGTTTAAATCCAGGCATCTGTTGGATACTAAACCCTGTCTCTACCAGGTAAACATGCATGAACCCCTATGGAAGGATCCTCTATCTTCTCTTCAAAGCTAGTTCATATTCAGCCTCCATCAGTGTTATGTGCATCTTCTATGAGGTCGCATCACTATCTCCTTTTTATACATGAGAATGCTGCCTCAAAGAGGTAGAGAAATTTATTCCAGACCATACCACAGAAAGAGGCAAAACAGAGGTTTAAATCCAGGCATCTGTTGGATACTAAACCCTGTCTCCACCAGGTAAACATGCATGAACCCCTATGGAAG